AATAAACATGTTAGGTGTTTACCATTAATCACGTCTAGTAAAACGTATTAAAAAAATTTAAATGAAACAAATTACAAATCTTTCTGTTGATCTTTCACTGCAGTTGGGGTAATTTTTTCTTATTTCGTACCGTCATTTTCAATCACGTATTCTCCAACAAAATATTATTCCAAAATGCATTTTGACAAAAAAATGGAGTTCAAACAGTCACTTAATATTGTCCAGTTTGTCTAGTCCATGCTTTTAAACATATAATTAGTGATTTTAAACACTCTTAGCTAAAAACTTTTAATATTTACTTGTGGCAAGATCTTAACAATGAAAAGAAACTGGGTGACATGAATCCAGTAACAATGACAGAGAAATAATGTATAAATTAAGCAAAACTCTGGATTCTGCACTCAAAAGTAAGATCAAATTTTACCACATAAATCAAACTTGAACTAAAGCAAAAGTTCAACAAGCATCATCCTCTAGCTAGGTTTAGACAACATTTTATCATTAGTGTTTTAAACAATCTACCAAAAAGAAAGCTTCTGGAATATATATACATGGATAGCATGTTTCGTACCTTGGATAGGACAAGACTACTGTCCAACCATGTCCAATTCAACTTACCAAACATGATCTGATATGGTTGGACAAATCAGGCTAAATAAAAGAAATCAATAATAACAAGAAACTGAAATTGGTTAAGATCTGCAGATTATTCACCATGATCCTCCACCCAGCATTTTGTTCCAGTATGGACCGTTGATGGATTCTCCTTGCCCTCTATCCTGCTAGAATTCGGACATCGAATCCTCAATAGGGAAAGGGAATTTAGGGTTTGTATTTTGAGAACTACCTCCCAGATTTCCATAACCATCTTCAAGCCCATCTGAGGAAAGATTAAGGCTTGGCAATCTGAGTCCATGCAGAGGAAATCCAGATGATGGATACAGTGTGTTAGAACCCGAACCCGAAACTGGCATGGACATAAGATTAGAACTGATCAATTCCCTGGATGTGAGAAATTCCATCACTGGATTGTAAGATGATAAGGAAGAAAAATTAGGGTTTGGGGAATTTAGGGTTTTACTGTCATCTCTGCAAGGTAAATCAACAAATCCAGGAACTCTATTGGTGAATGGATAAGTTAAATTCAGATTCTGTCCCTCGTGGTTTTGATCAGAAGGCTGAGATAAGCTTGGATCTGCAGGAAGCTTCTTTGATGATGACGACGACGGTTTCTTGGTCTTTCGTGAATTGCCACCCACCGGAATATTCCTTAAAATACCCCCTTCAGTCCAGTACCTTCTACAAGTCTTACAAAAGTGTCTTGGCTGAGACAAACTATAATTGTTGTAATAACAGAATTTTGTGTTAGAAGAATTGCATCTTGGACAATCTTTTTGTGGCCTAATTGGCTTTCTTTCAATTCCCTAAATAAATAGACAAGAAAACACCATCAATACTATGTGTGATCAAAACCAATAAATAATCACAGAAAAAAAGAAAGAAGATTCAAAAGCAGTAAAAAAACAAGTGAAGCAAAAGTAAGTGAATTCCTTTACTTTTGAAAACTTGAACAAAGCAATAAAAAACAACTTAAAATTAGCTTTTTTAGAAACCCTTTTCAGTACTGATGTTGAAAAAGTTAAAGAAAGAAAAAGTTGAGAACTTTTTTCTATCCATGTGAGTCTTGAATTCAAAGCAAAACTTTAGTAGTGGAGTCTGATCATCTGTTAGAAAAAGTTGCTTTTACATTTGTCGTCAATACGTGATTTTTCTTTTTCAGTTAATCAAAAGCAAAATTAAACTAAATTACTGAAGAAAATCCAAACCCTAGAAAGATGTGATCATGATATATATCATTGAAAAAAGGGTGTTTTTTCATTTACCTGTTGCCACTTAGCAGTATCCATAGCAGAAAAAAAAAAAGAAAGAGAAAAAGGTGAGGAGAGAGTGTGAAATAGAGGAAAATCACCCACTTTTGGTTAACTGGTCTTCAAGCAAGAAAGCAACCTGGGGGTTTTCTGTTTGGCTTGGCGGTTCCTTGTGTTGTTTTCTTTATCTGCATCCAGGGGGTTGGGGGTGATATAAGTGGTTCGTTATGTCCACTTGCCAACTTTTTAGTGGAATACTTAATGAAGATGTTCACCACCATATGTTTGAATATAGAATAATGCTATTTAGCACCATCGATAGTGATAGAACAAAAGTCTATATATTATTAAGTGATAATTTGAATTAAAGGTGAAATTATATATGGATAAGTATTGTACCACCACTAGTGGTGGTAAATAGCATTGTTCTTGAGCATAATAGCTTCGTGATTTTTTTTTTCAAGATTTGTTAATGAAGCTACTAATTATTTCTTGAACCTTGCTACATGTACACTATTGTGTACACTTTGTCAAGTGACATTATCTTATTGAACATTTTTAAATTTCAAATAGTTTTTTTTTTTTTCAATTGACACTAGACAACAATGCAAGTGTCAACTAAAGTATCAAAAATCAGTGTACAAATAGCAACGTTCTTATTTCTTTGCAATTTGTGGGTTGTAATTAACTTTATTTTATTACCCACACTTGTGTAAACGCCTAAATTTTGGTATGAAGTGTTACGCAAACTCAAAAGAGTAAATTCACTTTGACAGAAAAAACGTTGATAGATGATTTGACTGAATAAGTATTGACAAGATATGATTGGATGAAAAAGTTGACCGTGTTTTAGACAGTCCAATAATATGATGTCATGTGACATTATCTCAAAAATTATGTCAACCGTTATGTTATATTAGCATGATTTACTAAAAAATAGTTGAGATTAGTTGAAATTCAATCATCTTATTTAAATTATATAGTTAACGGACGAAAGAACTCGAAAATTATGAAGACTACAATAACTAAAAGAAGATCAAGGAACATAACTTACGATTTAATATGGTTGAGCTTGGTATCAATACTAATTCAATCATACTTCAAAGATTGAATTGATAACTTAGCTAACCAATGTTGTCTCATGTGATAACTTGAATATTAAAAAAATAATAAAAATAAACCAATTACAAAATTTTCTATTGGTCACTCAGTGCAGTTTGGTTAATTAACACGATCATTTTTCTTATTTAATATTGTTCATTATTTTCTAATCTGCTTTACTAACTATATATTTAGAAATGGCTAAAAACTCGTAACATTTACTCGTGGCAATATCTTAACAATGAGAAGAAACTGGGGAAGATAAATGCAGCAACAATGGTAGTGTTTCGCGCGGGATAGTCGCTAACAATTAAAAAGGGATCAAACGATCGTGTAAGGGACAAACCTCTTGAGACAAAGTTTCAAAAAGGGGTGTTTTTATTGGCGATGACTTTACAATTGGAAAATAAAAACAGAATGCCTCCAAGGGGCGCAAGCACACGAGTTACTGAAAAGAAGTATTTAAATCTAAACTAATAAATTGAAAGTTACATATTCTCTGTTTGAGAGTGTTTGATTCGGGGTCTTTTGCTCTATGTCTTTTCTTCCTTTTATACTCCCAGGATGATCTCTTCCTGATCAACCCAATCTCTTAAAAACTGCTTGATCGCTCTATAACTGCCCACTTTCTTCGTAGTGGCCAACTTGTTATGGAACTGCCTTCTCTAACTGCTGCCATTACTTTTTGTCGTTCAACCGTCTTCAATTAAATTCCTTGAATCGTGGAACGTGATAGGGCTATTCAATAACTGCTTCATTAATCGCACCTTTGGGTAACCATAACATCTTATATTTGCTAAGATCCTGAGCGACTCAAAGGTTTGGGCGATAACAGGGTCACATTTTTGGGTGACTGTATGGCAATCCATTCGCTTAAATCTTGGGCGACTTGTAACCTTGGGCGATGGTATTACAGCGTTTATGGGCTTTCCTATTTGGGCCTTTATCCTGTATTGCCTGATTGGCCCGTTCTTTGGGCTATCTGATTTTTGGGGATCCTCTAATTGGACTTCATTCCTTAGGCTATCCGATTTGGGCTGAACTTTTGTGTGTCAACAGGTAGAAAAAATAATGTACAAATTAAGTAAAACTCTTGGCATTAAATTTCGATATGTAATGAGATCAAATTACATATCTGACCCTAAAGGTTCCAACTAGAGAGATTTCAAAGCTATAGAACATGTAACGTTAAACTTCTGAATATAACATATATAGTTGAAAATGAATCTCAAATATTCCAGTTATATAGCAAAGGAACAACTCCTCTTATTATTATTATTATTTTTTTTTTCATAAATAGGATATTTTTCTTTTTCAATTTTCTTCATCTCAATTGAATAATTATTCGAATTTTATTGTAAGTTTTGCATAGATATCAATACACTGCCTTCATGTTTGTCATGCTGCATACCGTTACTTCTTGCAAATGTAACAAGGCAAGTCGGTCTTTGATTTCACGGTTGATACAAAGCTCTCTTATTAAGTTTGATAGTGATGAGAACTGTGAATCATTACATCAATTTTATTAGAAATAAATACAAATAATAATGGTGATATGTCAACTATAAGAATATTTGAATAAAATATTCTTAAAAAAAGGAAATTTCTTGACAATAGAATGAGAGAGCAAAAAATAAAAATAAAAATCAATATATAACTAAAAGAAAATTGAATGATGCGGTTTTATGAATGGCCAGAGGGTCGGCCCGGTAAGTGGATTTGGCAGGCGGCCCTAAACACTATAAACATATGGCTCGGACCGCACCAAGACTGAGCCCCAATGAACTGGGCCAACAGGTCCACTATCGACCGGGGGCCAGTTGACACGTGTTACTCACGTGACGGATTGGCGCTAAAATACCTCTTCCCGCGAAAACAAGTAACGCGCCAAAGCATTTTATTTTGCGGTGTTCTTTCACCTTCTCTCTACATAGATATACATATTTATTACACACAAGTAAGCACACTGTCTGATTCAGGACTCCCATTTCCCATTAACAATGGTTTCAACGATGGCCTTAAGGAAAAGAACCCTAGCTCCGAAGCCGATATCTGAGGAGCCCAAATCCAAAAAGAGATCCGAATCAAAGAAAGAGGAAGATTACTGCGATGCGTGCTGTGAGAATTGCGGGTCTGGTAACCGGGCTTCGGAGCTTCTGCTTTGCGATAAATGTGACCGTGGGTTTCACCTTTTTTGCCTAAGACCCATTCTTGTCGCTGTGCCCAAAGGTTCCTGGTTTTGCCCCTCTTGTTCCAAAGATTACAAACCTACCGGTAAGTTAATGGGTTTTCTTTAAATTATTTATTTATCTTTTATTTTGGAAAGAATTATATCTTATCTTCTGTTTGTTTTCTCTGAGTATTCTAATTCATATATTTATCTATTTATTCCTGAGTTAAGCTGCATCAAAGTAATGGGTAGTCAATGGTTCGTGATTTACTAATATTTCTTTAAATTTGATGATTGCATATAATAATTTTCCAAGAACTCCGCAAAATCTACGAATTGTTATATATATATTTTATCTTTAACGAGATTGAGTCAAAGGCAAGGTTTATGTAACGGAGATTACGATTTATTTTCGAAAATTCTCCAAGTTAGTGAATTTCGAATGCTTGATCTTAGCCATATGTTCTTAAGTCCGTGCTAGAATATTGTTAATGCCATAGGTTCTTAAGGAGCAATATCGGTAATATTTACTGATGCATTGAACTGTACATAAGGCCTATGTCTTAATGGGAGTGGATTTGATTTGGCTTTATCCTTATTTTAAGGATTCGGATTAGACTTTTTTTTAGAGCAATCGTCATGAACTGCTTAGTATCATATTATTTCGAAATAACTTGCGCATCTGCAACATTCCTTTTAACAATTAGTTTTATGAGGTCTCTATTTTATAAAATGTTTTATATATAAGAGCGTGAATAAATTTTTGTTTTTAACTCCCGAGTTGATCTTAATTGTTGATGTGCAGGCTTCCCTCTAGTACAAACCAAAATTGTTGATTTTTTCCGCATTAAGAGGTCTTCATCATCGGCAGAAAAGCTCAATCCAGGTAACAGACATCTTAGTGTTCTATTATGGTTGTTTGTCTCCTGTTAACTAATTGTGTATACTTTATGGTGGTATATGATCTCAAACAAACAACAAGATAAAAACTGATATGATAGAGGAATATGTATTTTATTCAATTGACTAATATGAAAAAAGCAAATATATTAGCTGTGCATATATAATTATTCTATATTATAGTAATACAAAACTTGTGAAAAAGTCTAGTATTTATAGGTGGCATGCCAAACGACAGAAATACCACAAATATGGAAACAAGATAAGAAATCACGTGGAATAAAAGAAAAAAAATTTCTTAAAAATCCAACCTAATCTGGATAAAAAAACTCAACAATCTCCATCTCGACATAAATTTCGATGCAACAAACAAAACTCCAAAATTTCTCCACTAAGAAAAATAAATTCAACTACAACAAAAAATTCGAACTCTTCAACAAGAATCAAACTAAAATACTCCTCTTCCATGGTATCCAACACGTATACATGAACGCAAAACTAGGTTCCCTAAAATTTACAAAGAATTAGAAATTACCAAACAGTGTTGAAGCATGCTCTATAATAGAATCAACCCCTAATGCTTCCATAGAAGGTCTATGGCTAGTCTCAGCACATTTAAAAACGCTAAAAGTATATGCAACGAAATTAGCATTCATGTACCTATCTTTAATGGATTTATCCTTAGCAGTTGAATACAATAGAGCTGCATGTAGTTGTGGCAAAGTAGAATTACCTTTATCCTCCAAACTCGATTAAGTAGTGTTCTTCAATAAGGATTCCGAACTAAATTTAATGGTACGTTACCAAACTGAATCTCCACTACGATACAAAATATGTGTTGACTTTTCTTCACAAATTCTGTCCGACCTTGCAAATTGTATAATTGGGACCTTTTTCACCCTCCAATACAACACAAACACCCTTTCAAACCCTCAAGACTCTACTTCCTCCAGAGAACGTATGCCCTTTTGAATAAAGACTACTCAACGAAATGAGATCCTTCTTCAAGTTTAGAATATTTCAAACATGATCAATTGTTTTACATGTTCCCATCCACCAGTTTCAATCAGACTCTATCAATACTAGCTATTCGGCAAACCTCGTTATTACTCATGACAACGATATCTTGCGTCATTGTTTCATATGTTTCAGACAAATCTCAACACATAGAATGCACAAACTGTATCCAAAATCCACTTCTCGTCAGGTTTGAATTCCATGTTGAAAATCGTCAAAACATCTCCATCACTTGTTGGTCTCGTCTAAAGTATTTGATTGCTTTTCATGATTTGCGGTTAAATTACCTTTATTCTGCAATTTTTTGCAATACTTTTAATGTGTCCTTTCTTTTTGTAATAATGACAGACCTAATTACTAAAATTTGACATCGATTTACTCATTCTCTGATCACCATGAACTGCAAGACCTTTGCCTGAAATATAATTAGATGCTCTATTTCCTCTTTTAGAAATAAGGTATCAATTATCATACGTATCTTCAATGGTGAGAGTATCACAACTATACAAGATTGTGTCTCTAAACTAAGTAAACGAAGCAGGTAGTGAACGCACAAAAGGATTAAGGTCAATTCTTCTTCATCATACTTTACCTGTAAAGTCTCAAAATCAGCGATGGTCTCCTTAAACACAGTCAGATAATTTTCCTAAGATCCATCTCTTGCCATGCAATGAGAACACAACCTGTGCTCCACAATGTATTTTGCTTGTCAGATTTTTTGCCATGCACAATTGCTCAAACTTCAACCACAATGCAGCCGTCGTTTTCTTCTTCAAAATATACTGAAGAATATTATTAGAGAGATGAAGATAGATCTATGAAAGTGCCTTTTGATCCTCCATCGTCCAAGTTGTGGATATTTTATTAAATCTCAACAATGCATCATCCAAATATATCTACTTGAGTACAACTCACATCTACACTTGCCATAAAGAGAATCTTGCATTGCCATTTTAAGAGCCGAATTTCATAACTTTATGGCTGTCATTAATAACAAAAACCTCAAATAAATCACAGCTTATAGCTATGATACCACTTGTTAGGCAATAAAATGGATCGAGGTAATATATATGACACGATATGACGTATATGATCGCAAACAAACAAGATAAAAGACAAATAATTAATTGGTAAAGGAACGAAGTATTTTATTTAATTTACTAATATGAAGTAAATAAATACAATAACTGTGCTTAACATTATTCTATAGTTCAGTAATACAAATTTTGTGAAAAAGTTTAGTATTTATAGGGGTGCATGCCAAATTCTAGAAATACCACAAAGATGGAAACAAGATAAAAAAAAAAAAAAACAAGATAAAAAATCACGTGAAATAAAGAAAAAAGTATTTTCTCAAAAATCCAACCTAATTTGGTTAAAAAAAACCGACATATGGTTTGTTCGGTAAGGCATACTTTAGAGTACTGGATAGTTATAAAGTAGAAAAAGAAGTTCAAATCCTTTTTTACTGTACAATACGATCATGTCGTACTGTGAACCGAACATGCTTTTCTAGTTTTCGACTGGTGGAGCACCTAAGATCCTTTTGTTGTTTGTTCACCTTCTTAGATAGCCAAAAGAAACGTAGGCGAAATTCTGGCTTGGTGATGTCAAAAAAGAGTAGGAAGTTGTTGCCATACAATCCCAGTGAAGATTATATCAGAAGGTTGGAACAAATGGCATCACTTGCTACAGTGTTAACAGCAACTGAGACACAGTTTGTTAACAAGCTCACTTATGTCCCTGGGATGGCCCCGAGGTCAGCTAATTGTGCTTCACTTGAGAGAGAAGGAATGCAGGTATATTAAACTCCAAAATTTTGAGCATGTTATCCCAAGTAAAATTAGTGATCAGGACTGTTGTTATGCTACAAATCCTACTATAGTGAAGATTGGATATAGCGATTTGCAAAAACCTTTTATATATGTTGATTGTGTTTTGTCATGTAATTGGATGGCTGAAAAGACCCCTGTTAACCCGTAAAGAAAAACCTTAGCAAACTGTTGCAGATCAGCTGAATATAGCATATTTCTTGAAAGATATGTCGAAATATAATTTTTTTTTTACACTTGAAAGTGCAACATCATATCCAAGTCTCATAAAGAGCATTATCTTTTATTCACTTATTTTGCTGATTGATTATCAATGACTGTGCGATTGCCAATTGACAACATGTTAAAACATTGCTTAAAACCTGGATCCATAGGTTTTATCAAAAGAAGATGCAGAAACCTTGCGTCTGTGCAAGAATATGATGGAACGAGGAGAATGGCCGCCGCTCATGGTTGTATTTGATCCCCTAGAAGGGTGAGTACCAATATATTCAATTGTTTCCTGACAAGAAATTGTATTACCATTACCTGGTATACTTGTTGTAATTTCTTATTCAATTTCAACAGATTCACTGTGGAAGCAGATAAATATATAAGAGATTTAACGATAATTACAGAATATGTTGGAGATGTTGATTACCTAAGGAATCGTGAAAATGATGATGGAGACAGCATGATGACTCTCCTCTCTGCTGCTGATCCTTCAAAAAGTCTAGTCATCTGCCCAGATAAACGCAGTAATATTGCTCGCTTCATTAATGGCATCAACAATCATACATCGTATGTCAATCCTCTTATAACACTTGTTTTCTGCCTTATTATTATATCTAAAACTTTCGGGTTTATAGTCACTGGCAAAATATACAAAATCATGTCGTGTGAAAGATCGTTAATCCGAATTCATATCATGCAAGTCCTCATCTGTGTTACATTAAGCTTGTAAGTTCTGACAATTGACTAACCATTTTGGAGCTAATAGTTGGTTATGGATAGATCATTAGTCATCGACGAATTTTACTCAATTTTTGGAAGGGAAGGGAAATTGCAAATCTCACATCTTAGAATCTTAATATCAAATCAGGTAATTGGACTGTGTAGACTATGGAGCCTAGTTATACTATATGCTTATTCTCTCGACTGTGGATCAACCTAGTATTTGGCATTCCCGTGTATATAAATGATTGCTCAGGGGACTTTTAGAGTCGTACATATAGAAGGCCTAAAATTATCATTGTCATCGTCTTTGTTTTTCATAGTAAAATTTTGCATCGGTGAGCTCTCACATTAATGGTAACTACTATAAATCTGTGCGTACTTTGCTTGTTTTCTGTTTATATTTGCTCGAGTTTACTATGAACTATAAAGGCTTAATCCATAAATCAGGACTCACTATTTCTTCAAAAGTGAATAATGTCAAAAAGGGATTTTCCCTGATGATAAATTTCTTCTGGTGCAGGGATGGGAAAAAGAAGCAGAACGTAAAATGTGTGAGATTCAATGTCAATGGTGAGTGTCGTGTGCTGTTGATAGCAAGCAGAGACATTCGAAAGGGAGAGAGATTGTATTACGACTACAATGGGTATGAGAACGAATATCCAACCGAGCATTTTGTCTGATCACATAGGATTCCATCTCAAGTTGAATTAACAAAAAATTTTGAGACCTGCTAACATGCAAATCTATTTTTGATCACACCCATCTAATTTAGTAGAAAAACTGAAAGTCTCTTGGACCACGTTTAATTTTGTCATCAAGTAACGAATGAACTTTCATCGAGTTTAATAACTATGTCTACGTTAGACTGCTAAATTAAACAAAATATCAACATAGCTAATGGGAAATATGATGTGGCCTAAAAATATTTGAACTGATTAGTTTTGTGTCTAAGTTGACAAAAGCATGCATAGGTGAAAATTTTGAGCTTAATTCATAACTTATTTAGAACTAAAATGAGGTTTCGTCGTCGAATAAGTGCTAAAATTACTGTTCTCGACTCTTAGTGATGTTTCTGTTAATTATGTAGTAGCATTGGAGCCCAAACTAAGCTAAAAAAGAATGTAGGTACCATTTGTGCCACAACCACATCTTTATCAGTTCTCAGCCCAATAATAAGAAATTTCCTCCATCACAAAAATGTTTGTTTACAATCGTCAGAATTCTCTAATGACATTTGATATGAAAGATCAGATGATCCTTATGTCGAAATTCTATCTAATATTTAACACAGTTATAATACGATGCCCAAATTCGTAACGACTACTATTAGGAGCACAAGGCAGAAGAGGGTTTTAACTTGTGCCTATGATGAAAAATAGGGCCACCCTAAGCCTTTGCTCAATTGGAATTCATAAGGGGCCGTTCTCTTCGTGTTTGAGTTTTTAGTCTTGAGTTTTGAATTTATTTTGAGTTTTGTGTTTTGAGTGTCCGTTTTGAAATTGTTGAAAACACGTTCTTTTTGTCATTTTTGAAAAACATTCCTTAAAACATGAAAATTGAAAATGTGTTTACTTCTAAAATTGCAATTGCCGTCTTCAACTTCACAGACCCACTGCCACCCAACTTCCGATCACCATGGCCTCCAAAATTTTTCACCAACACCATCTCCTATCAATTCCCACCAATCCTACACAAACAACCCTAAATGACAGCAAAATCAAGCCAATTCCCGTCCAAAAATAGTCACTCATGCACGGTTTTCTACCAAATTGACCAGCCCAGTTGATGTCCATGTTAATTACACCCCACAAGTTGATCAAGCTCAGCAAGATGCGTCCATACATGGTATTATAACAAACAACACAGAAAATCGAAATCTATAGCAGAAATTCGAAGCAACACACTCGCGGCCGACAAATGGATTTGAAACAGTGAACACGCTGAGGTCGGCACCGACGCATCCATAGTTGGTTGTAGTGTTCGATCATCCATCGCCGGCGTCCAGAAGAGAGAGAAGGCAGAGAGGGTCAGACGGGATTGGATGAAAGAGAAGGAAGATTTGGTTTTGTGTCCAGCTGGGCGTTTCCCGTGTTTTCCAATTTTTGTGGGTTTTGTGCGGAAAACGACTAAAATGTCGTTTTGTGTTTTCAGTACAATTTTTTTTTCTCGAAAAAACGTTTTTGAAAACAGGAAAGAGAACGTATTTTCGTTGTTTTGAAAAATCGAAAACAGAAAATGGATTGAAAACGGCAAAAAGAACAGACCCTAATATTTTCCGGTGGTCTAATTTAGGCCTTATTCATAATCAACACTCTAACTGGAATTCACTCAAACAAACACACACACAGGACAAACATTAGGTTTGGAATAGTGTTATTTAGCACCACTGGTACTATAACACAATTCTAAATATAACACTTATGCCTCTTATTTAAAACTACATAGAAATGATGTTACTAAAGAACTTGTATGTTTGGATCAAATACATCATCCCGATGATTGTCTCATTTTTTATGCTACGCACAACATTATTCTTTGACAAGTTGGACCAATTTGGGATGTTGATAGGTCTATAAGGCCAGTCTCTTCATTTTTTAAACGAATGATGTTACTTGTCTTTACTGGGGATAATCTTCATGTGACTCGACAATAATGAGTCATTAAATGATAAGACCAATTAAATGCATATATATTACATTCATTTTATCGACCTTATCATTTAATGTTACATTATATATAAATCATCTTTAATAGAGAGATAATATTTAACATGTCAAACGGGCCGAGAGGCTCATCGGCTCGGTCGCTTGGCTTGTTAAAACTCGGCTCGTGGAAGACGAGTCTGAGCTGAGCAGGGGGCTCAATCCCATGAGCCTGCTTGGCTCGTCGAGCTCACGAGCTAAGCCCAAATATGAAAATTTACAAAAAAAAATGTGCAATTTACCAAAAAATAAAAAAAAATCACGAGTTAGCAAGTGGCTCGTGGGCTCTGCTCGGCTCGGCCCACAAGCTCATGGGTTAAAGGTTATCCCTAATAATATTGTTATTTCAACTTCGCTATCCTTTGTATCGTAAGTCCTTCTCTTGCATCATATTCAATGGCATTGAACTCAAAAAGATAAACGGACAAACACAGTACATAGAAGTTAAAAAAAAAAAAAAAGCATAACTCGAGGGTTGCCTAGTGCACGTCCGACGGGTAGCAGCTGCTGATTTTTTTGTCATAAAAAAAAAAATAATAAATAATGTCATTGCATTTCGAGGACTAAACTATTTTGTATTTTAGATATTGTAAATCCAATGCAATCATCAAAGTTTCCACGAAAGACGTCTAAAGTAATTGGAGATGTCTTACACGACTTTGAGAGAGCATTTTAAAAAATGATGAAAGAAGTGAACAACTTAGGCTGTGTTTGATTGCTCTACTTTTTCCATGGAGGATTTCATTTTCCAACTTTTAATTGTTTGATTGTCCAAAATTTTTCCTAGAATTACAATTCCAACTTATTTTTCATGAAATCAAGGAATTCGAATTCGAATTCTCGGTTATTGTAGCAATTTTTTTTTTTTTTTTTTTTTTGTTTTTTTTTGCAATGGAAACAAATTCTAAGAATTATTGTAAAAAAATATTTCCTTTTGATTGACAATTTTCATGTAAAACAAAGCCGAACGAACACCAAAAGATAGATGATTTTCTTTAATTTTTTTTTATTTTTTATTTTTTGACAATGAAAACAAATTTTATCCCAAATACCAGTAAATTTTATCCCTTTAATTGACAATTTACATGTAAAACAAAGTCAAACGAATACCAAAAAACACTTTTATTTCAATATTTTTCACGTGAAAAATTATACCAATCAAACAAATAATTTACAATTTCCAGGAAAATAATTTCTAAGCAATTCAATTTCTTGAAATTTCTTTTTTTTTTTTCATCCAAATTCCATCTTTGCAATCAAACGGGTCCTTAGTGTGAGAGTTTCTAAAATCTGTTCTGGCAACTATAGTAAAATCAAGCAATTGTTTGACATCTATTAAATCAAAATTCTTTTTTTTTTTTTTGGCTCAAACATATTTTCAATATAACATTTACACAATAAAATATTTTACATGTAAACTCAATTTTTTCATACTTTTCAATCAAATATTTTCTGAAAAAATCATTATTCTAAAATCCGTTTTCTCCAAAATGGAAAAAATGCACTTTAATGGATGTCAAACAGAGGCTAAGTATCTTTTTGTTTGAATAGTATTGTTGTTTTACTTTTAATTTTTTTAAAATATATTGTTGTGTCCTAATTGATATTACTCTTTAATGCGGTACATGATAAAGAAGATTACATGAAATTATTTGTATAATTTTGAGTGAAAAAGGCCCGACAATCAAAACTAACTAAGGGACTACAACGTTTTTCTATAAAATTATATCGTTTAAACATCAAAGGATGTGTATTTTTTTTTATTTTTTTAATGATTTTATTTTGATTAATAAATTCGAAATTGAAATATATTTGTTGCAGATTGATCATGAAAATTAGGGCTTTTAATTTTCGTCATTATTATTATATCTTACTCTAAATAAGGGTTGGAAGAAAATCAATTTTTGATAGTGAGAAATTCTCTCTACTTTCTTTCTTGACATTCGTTAGCAAATCAACAAGTTTGAATTTTCAAATATAATTTTTTTCGTATTAATTTCTGCTACGTTACCTTGGGAGGCATGGGTTGGATTGAGTCAGTTTTTTATCCAATCCAATCCCAACCCAACATGATCAGATTAATTTAAAATCAAACTAACCCAGCCCAGGACAATCAAGTTTAGGGTGGGTCGCGTTGAGTTGGTCAGTTTGGACATTAAAAATATAAAAATATGCTTGATAATAAAAACTTATCAACCACAACACTTTGATCATGAACAATAACTTGTAATCATACACGAAAGAAAATACATACATTATACAAATTATCATCTCGCTTAAAAAAAAAAAAAATCCTTGAAACTTACATTTGCAAAATATAAATAAATAATCAACTTAAAATTTAAAGTTAAGAGTTCCAAAAGGGATAAAGGTCGACAATTAGCTTCAAGTCTAGATGCAAATAGAGTTGGGACGTTCGACGGGCTTCAACGAGAGGACTAGAGAGGAGGAAGCACGAGAGAAATGATAAAAATTTGTAAACTAGGGTCATGAGGTTTTAACTTCTTAATTTTTACATTTGTTTTTCAATTTTTTAAGTAGTGGGCTGGATTGTGCAGGTTTTAACGATTTTGGTGGATTTACCCATAATCCAACTCAACCTAACCCAATTTCTTTTAAAAAAATCAAACCCAACAGAATTTTAAGAAAAAATCAAAAAAATTGGTCAGTTTGATTTGGATTAATCGGTTTTTGTGGGTTGGTTTAGTTTTTGCCCACCCCTAATGTCACCCTTAGAAATATAAGCAATGCTATCAGTATTAATTTTTGCTCAAAGTTCGATCAAGAGAGTTACAAGAACAACGTAATCACAAGTCATTTTAGTTATAACATATACAAAATCATACTCTAATTTTTTAATAGGATTTTGGATAGAAATATGTTTCCTTTCATGGTAGTTAAAGGTTGTTTCGTCATTTCTAGTCTCGTAGAGGCAACACGGGACCTTTTCATTTTTTAATCAGAATTTATATCGGAAAATTTGTCTAACCTTAAAAGTCGACTTAATTGACAAATTCAATACTACTGCTCCATATAATCATATGTTCAGTTAAAGAGGTGTAGAGCCAACCGTCCCCTATATGTTGCGCTTCATATAAAGTTTGACACCATACGACATGACTTTGTTATAGTTACGTGCGGAACTAGATAAATTT